TGAGCTAGGTGATAAGCAGACTAATGACGCCCCAGAAATGCTTAAGCCCTAAATCCCAGAACCTGTGAATATGTTCTTTTATGTGACCAGAGAGACTTTGTAGATGTGATTGAAAGTACGGATCCTGATTAATGGTAAGTTTATCTGGCTGATTCAGGTCAGCCCATTCTAATCATGTGGTGGTGCTGGTGGTGTGCTATGGAGTCGGTTCCGACCCATAGCGACCTTGAATAGGGTTTCTGAGACTGTAAGTCTTCACTGGAGCAGAGAGCCTCATTTTTCTCCCGCAGAACTGCTGGTAGTTTCAAACTGCTAACCTTGAGGTTGGCACTCTGACTCATAGCATATGAATTCTTAAAAGCAGAGAGCCTTTCCATGCTAGGTCAAAGAGATGAGATGGACAAAGGAGGAGAAGTGGTGCAGAAGAGGAAATGATAAATCAAAAGAAATCTAAATGATTATCAGCCAGTTACTTTGTACCTTATTGGATCTGGATTTGAACAAGCAAGCTTAAAGAAAGAGAAAAGAAAAAAGATAATCGGAAACCTTGAAATTAACCATGTGTATTATTGATTGTTTTTAGAATAATAAAGATCTGGGGTTTCAAAAGGTTCATGGAAAAATGGAACTAAAAGACAATGGGATTTTTCCATGAATTTTAAAAAATCCCTTTGTATATGAAAATGTTTCATTATGAAATTATGATAATATCTGGGATTAAATATAAAATAATTTGGTCCAGAGAACAATGGATGGAGGTATAGGTGAAGTAAGATTAGCCAAGGAGCTCTGGTAGCATACTGGTTACAAACAGGGCTGCTAACCTGAAGGTCAGAAGTTCAAAGCTACCAGCTGTTCCGCCGGAGAAAGATGAGGCTTTCTGCTCCCATAAAGATTTACAGCCTTGGAAACCCTGTACAAGGTCACTATGAGTCGGAACCAACTCCATGGCCCATAACAACAACAACAACAACATGACTTCGTAACTTTTGGAAGGTGGGTAATGGGTAGGTCAGGGTTCATTATATCAGTGACTCTTCTAGTGTGGTCTCCCAATCAGTTAGCATCAGATGTATCTGGAAATCAGATCTATGGAACCAGAAACTCTTGGGGTGGGGTCAAGCAATCTTGTAAGGATTTTTCCAGATAATTCTAATAAACACTAGTTTTGCAACCACTGTGTTGTATTTTATTTTTCTATTTTAGTTTAGGGTTGAAATCTTAATAATACATACATGAAGTGAATAAAAAACAAAACTACAAGTATGAGGAGCTGATTTAGAGATTAAAATCAAGGTTGTGTACTTTTTCTAAGAGTTAGCAGATGAATGGCATGGTACTAATAGTGAGCAAGCTGTTAATGATAGCCTGAAAACAAATCAGAAACTTCCCTTTTCTTTTGGAATAATGATTCTACATTAAAATCACTTGGAGAATTTAAAATGAAATAACAATAAAAACCCAGACCCCTACCCTAAAAGATTCTGGATTGAATTAATTGAATTAGGGCCTGGAGTTTGTATTTTAAAACTCCACAGATGATTATTGTTATTAAGTGTGTTGAGTCGGTGTCAACTCATACCGATCCTTTATAAGGTTTCTGAGGAGTGGCTGTTGAGCTTGAACTGTCGCCTTTGCAGTCTAGTGCAGTAACCCACAGCACCATGCCAGGACTCCACAGATGATTAGATCTGTGTTGAGACCTAGTATCCTATCATTATGTGCATACCATCACATCCTAGCCCTCATCCTCAGAGAGTCCCGTTCAGGTTAGTGAGAAGGCTCTTAATTTTTATATTCTAACTAGTTCACTGGCAGCCATATTTATGCTGTTGGTCTGAGAACCACACCTTGAGTAACATTCTAAAAAGTAAGGAATATGGAGCCCTGGTGGTATAGTGGATTACATGTTGGGCTGCTAGCTCTAGGGTCAGCAGTTCAAAATCAGCAGCTGCTCCTCATGGGAGGAAAATGAGTCTTTTTCCTCCTGTAAAGATATACTGTCTCAGAAGCCCTATGGTATTATACTGATAAGTGTTGTCAACCCTGTATAGGGTTTCCAAGGAGTGCCTGGTGGATTTGAATTGCCAACCCTATGTTTGCAGTCTAATGCTTATTCTGCAAAACCACAGCAGGTCTCAGGATGCTTCCCCAATGACCAAAAGTATGGCTTACTCCTACCCTCCTTCACCTCCTGCATAGACCCTGCTCTCTGGGAGTTCAGAGCCTTGTGGTTGGGAACCATGCTAGTGTAAGGTGGGGCCTGCCTGCACCACTTTGGTGTGCCATTTTGGTGCCTAGATTCAGGTGGGCTGAGCTCCAGACCTATAAAACCCAACCCGCATTTAACCAGTCATCTTGCCCCCAGTTTCCCTGTGGTCCTAACAGACACTGAAACAAGCTCCATCAAGGGCCCCCACAGACTACTTCTGGATTGAGTGCCCTGAACATAGATAATATCAAGGCCAATAGGAACTCTTAGATAGGGCCAAGAACATTGCTGTGACATCCCTATCACACCACCTTGTGAGCTACTTGAATTGCAGGAGTCCTCCAGAGATTTCTCCCCTTCACATCCTACAACTGTCCTGTTTGTTTTGACAAATACCTCACAATGCCTTGGAAACAGAAGAGAGTTTTAGCTCATACAAAGAAACAAGAGAGAAAGACTCAAACAAATGACCAGGAGGCAGAGTCAGAAGACATTTCTAAGGAAGAAAAGGTGATAGATCTAACTGAAAAAGAATTCAAAAGAATGCTAATTTAGGTACCTTCAAAGGATCTATAAAAGCTCTTGAGGAAAGCAAGGAGAATACAATAAAAACTTTAGAAGAGTTCAGGAAAACAGTACTAGAATAAACAGACAAAATAAATGCAAATTTTGAAACAATAGAAAACCCACAATTAGAAATCCAGAAGATTAATACACAGATCTCAGAAATGAACAATAGGTTGAAAGGGCAAAGGAGTACATGAAGCAATGGAAACCTGAATTGGTGAG